GGACGAATCGATCGATTGGTTTCTTCCGGCGCGCGCGCTCGCTCGCTCGCTCACCCATGGGAACTGGGTCGTCATAATTACGCATCGGTAGAAACGACTATTCTGCTCGTCCCTTTTTAATTCAAGCGTGTCGCGGGGGCTGCCGAGTCTCTCGAGTCGACGCCACCGACGCGGCGGTGGTCGACTAATTTGTATTCATGAGAGCGAACGAACCGCGACGGTTCGTTCGGCACGGAGACGCGTAAAAATCTTCGGCTTCCGCCGGGCGGACAGGGAAAAAGCACCGGCGGCGTGTCGGCGCGCTTGACGCTTATTGCGACCAAATTTCAATCCGTTCCGCACCTCCGGAGCGGCCGACGCATTGGGATGAAAACGTTCCGGCCGTCGAGCTCGCGCAAAAAGGACGCCCACGCGATTGGCGCAGCGACGACGGCAATTTTAACGCCAAGCGTCTCCTTTTAACGTCTACATCGGTATCCGTTCGTCGTACGTTTGACTAGCTGTCGAGTACTGTCGAGGTCCACAAACAAGTCTTCCTTAAAATATCTTGACACTTTCGTAATAAGGTTTCGTCAATTTTCATTCGCCAGACGGAAATTCTCGCTCTCGCTTATCTCTCTTGATCGCATGCGGGTCACAAATATTGTCTTCAAAAAAGTACAATCTAATCAGAGAGAAACCTTATCTCATCAAAAGAAATATATTCCAAAATGGGAAAATTCCAGTTATAAAATGCTATTGTAATCTTATATTTCTAAACTTTTCCCGGGAGAGTATTTCTATACTAATGGAGAGGAAAATAATATTATGTTTAGAACATTTTCTTCGTGGTGTTTCAGAGGAATTCTTTTAATACCATATACAAAAGGATTTTGATAAAAATGAAATTGAGGATAAACCTTTATGAGCGATTTTTTTAGGACATATAAAATCAGTAAGAACCGTGCACAGATGGTAGTACGAACAATTAAATTATGAATGGGCAATAACAATGTAAACGCACGCGGTGAATAAAATCTTCAAACTCAATCCAGAATATTCCATTTTTTATATTTTAATTAATTCTCTTCCCTTTCTCTCTAAAATCCCAATTGTGCATTTGATTTCTATGAAATTCTACATTAATGTCATCCTCTCACAATTTAATTATCCGCACTAGCATTCAGCGCACGGTTCTTACTGGCTTTATATTTCTCTTGATTGTGTTTCAAACAAAGTCTCTGATATATAGTAAAGTTCTTTTTCTTTTTCATTCGCGAGTGTAGATAATAATAGTTGTATATCTGACGAATTGTGTCGATCACTTATGCGAGGAGATTTACGATTTACGTACAAACAGCTATGCGGGTACCATTGTCGCTCGCGTGTAGCACACATGAGCGACGGCAGCGAAAAGATGAAGTGCGGATTTAGTGTTACAGTCGCGACGCCGAAAACATTTTTCTTGTTGTGTGGATTACCGTGCCGCGACGAAACATTGCGAGGCACGTAGCATTTCTCTTACTTTCTCTCTCTCCCCTCTCTCTCCCTCTCTCTCTCTCTCTCTCTCTCTCTCTATATCAGCCACTCTCCGGTATAGCCCGTGACTTTGATTTGAGCCGCGCGAAGCGCTCTCTCACGACCTTAATTGATTCCAGCTGACGTGCGCGTTATACTGCCTCGAGGAGAGGCGCTCACAGACTCAGCAGTAACGCGTGATACATATTTAAAGAGGAAAAAGGGTCGCCATTTTTACAGCACAGCTACCGGTCTCCCACACACGGGCCGCTGCGTCTGACGAGCGCGAAAAGTGTCGTGACCACGTTTTTGCGGTGTCTGGCATACGTCAGTGTCTCGCCTTCCTTAAAAAGCCGCGGACCTTTCCCTTTGGTATTACAGCAAGCGAACGGACGCACTGTCGCGATAATTAAATTTTATTCCCAGCGCGCGATACACACCGAGCGACGACGACGACGACGTCGGAGATCGCGATGAGACGCGGATCAACCATCGACCTGCACTCGAGAAGCTTAATTTTTTCCGGCGCAGCGTCCTCGCGACCGTGTCACCAAGAAAAGCGGAATCGTGTGCGCGAGGAAAACGAAGGGCTTGATTCAATTTCCGTCACGACAAATGAGACTCGACTCATGTCCTAATTCTCTCTCTCTTCCTCTCTCTATTTCTCTTTCTCTTTTTCTGCCGCTCGCGGGCACTTTAATTCTCAAAAAAACGTCGCCGTGAGATTTCACGGTGTTTCCACTTGGCGCTAATTACCGCGTCCGGGATTTCGCGACAATCGCTCAGTGTGCGAAACGAATTACTTTAATGAAGCTACAACCCGTGCTCGTGCTCGCTCGCGTACGAGCTAGAGCACACACACCCACCCGCACCCACGCACACAGCAGCAGTAGGACCGATGTAAAATATGCTCAAATAATTCCTGGCAATTATTAGCATAATTGGCTTATGAATATGCATGTATCACAACATTAACCTTTGTCCCCCCTCCGTTTCGTCCCGGTGACGTTTATACGCGAGAACGCTCGCGCGCTACGCCTACCGCGTGTACGCAGCACGGGCGTATGGGCGACGCTACGTCGGCTTCGCTATTGGTCCGGACATCTGCACGCGGACACAAGCGGGCTGCAAATGTCGCTGGAAGAGCGGCTAAACCGCTATCCGTTTCCGTGTGCTGCAACAGCCTGATTGATCCGCCGATAATGAGAGCGCGGGCGAGCGCGCGTGTACACGGCGTACGTAAATCGCATAAATCGCCGGTAGAAATATGACGGGACGTTTTCCGCGGTGCCCGCAGTATGCGCGTAATGCAGTACGTGCCGCGACGCGCGTTAAGCGCTGCCGAGCACTTTTGTGCGAGTCCCATGATTTATTCCGCCCGCGGCGCTCGTAATCGATCGTAACTGCATCGCCGGGATCCGCGATCAAGGGCGTTACGATGCGTGCAGCGGGCGCGCGAATACGGAAGCGCAATTTTGCAGGCCGCTGGTAATACGGCTGTTTGTATCGAGTGTTCTTATAATTTTCATGATTCAGCCGTAGCCGGCCGCGTGTAATCGATCGCCGCGATTGTTGTATTGTCGGGCACGATTGAAAAACGATATGCGCCGCGAATCTCATTACGTCGCCATGGCGGCTGTTGTAATAATTCTGATGATTTATTTATCATCTCGGGTGTCAACGGCACAACGCTGAAAAATGATAAATAATACGGCAAGATGGAATCGCTCTCATCATGCTTCGCCGTAATGCAAAACGAACAATAATGCATAATGAGCACCGGTTTAAAAGTTGCTCATTTTTTTTCCATTTTTTTCCGTCGAAAATTGCAGCAGATTGAGATATATTTTATAAGCGCGACTCTTCTCTCCATCTATCGCGCATCGAAATTCTAGTTCTACATTTAACCCTACACGAAGAGTACACGAAAAAATATTTTTTTTATTTTACCATGTTTCTATTAGTACAGGAACGGAGTTAGCAAGCTCTATTTTGTCAGAGAACATGGTGAATTTTGCTGGAAGCACTACAAACTTTTTAATAGTACACGGAAAAAAATTTGGTTGGATCAAGAAAAATTCTAGTTTGTTCATATTTTACTACAAATTGGTTAATCCAATCAAATTTTTTTTTTCTGTACACATTCTAGTTCCTGAAATGTAAGCAACACATATGAAATGAAAGAAATAGATAGAGTCAATTACTACAGAATGTCGGTTTATTCTTCGCTATTCCTCGCTTCTGTATAGCAACTGTTATTATAAAGATCTCTCCGTGTATATAAGTTACGACCAGCTTTATAGAATAGCAGAACTATAAAAATGTCCTACCTTGATGCAATAGATGGTTAGTTGATTCAATTTTCTTCATATCGAATTATGTTTATAAGAAATAATTTAAGCTCTTGAAAAAACTGATTTAAGACTATAATGAGAAAATAAAAGTTATATGTCCAATAATACTTAATATTCAATCATCTTAATATCCTATCTGCATTTAATCTTTATTCATAATTCCAAGGGATGATACATGAATTCTGTAATTTAGCTCCGAATAGAATATGTACGATAAGCAAGTATATTAAATAATTTAATAAAAATAAATGGGAAAGTATAAGAGAAAATTAACAAGTTTAATTTTAATCTCTTTTTTATATTTTTTCGTTGGCGTCGGAAATTGATGTATATTGAATGCGTATCAATACATCCGAAAATATATGATATATTGCTGTCCGGTCGTTTTGCGTTCTCCGACATATCTTTCCGATGTAGCATCCCGCTTGTACCGTCATAGCACTGACACTCGTGTAGATACTCATGTAGATACGATTTAATCGGAGAAAGCACGTGTTAATTAACACGACATCATCGAGAGCATGATTAAGTATTTCAAGGGCCAAAAACATACGCATATATTTTGTGTAAATTTTAGAATAATACTTGGGGGCTAAGGGAAATCGCGGAATAACGGAAAAATACGCGTCGTGCGACTATACCAAAGTAATAGGCAAGAATGTAAACAAAGGACTTATCTCTCCCCATCAATCGCACCAACCGTCGTCGCTCGACACCGGCGTCGGGTGATTACAACAATCAAAACAGTCCGTACCTTGGCAGGGATTGAGCGTGTTCTCGCGCGCCGCGCACTTTTCCACATGGCTTTGTTGCGTCTCGGGTCGGTACGCGAGCGGAGCACGTGTGCGGGTATATTATTCACGTCACATCCTGTTAATTAAGATATTTCTTTGACTCTTGAACTGTGTAATCGAGCTCTCGTCGGTATCGCGTCGATTGATATACATTTCTCCGATTAAATCGTATCTGCGCGAGTGTCAGTGCCATAACGGAGCAGCCAGGATGCCAGGTCGAAAAGCCAAAGTGGAGGACGCCACGACGCATGCAGTAATACATCATATGTTTCAAGGTATGTCGAATCATTTGTTATATAACAGGTGTCCGTTTTTAACGGATGTCCGACGAACTTACCGAAAACGAAGAGATAACCGAGTTGAAATTTAGGCTGACATTCATAATTTGTCATCATTAACCAAATCATTATAATTTTATTAATCTCAGATTATTTATTAACCTGCATCCATTATGTTACTTCGTACAGAAAATCGATTCAAACAGTGCCGATCCATGAATAGAAATCTATAATTAATTGTGTTTTCGAAGATCTTAAATAATTTATAACTATGAGTTTCGGCCTTAGAATACAATACAAGTGTCGCAATTGTTGATTTTTACGTCTAATAATGCTCCGTCGGGCGCGAGTACGATTTTGTTTACCAAGACTTTCTTTTTATTTCAATTTAGTTTTTGGTATTGTAACGTTGGTATTGTAACGGTGTTGATATGCAAATTTAGATCTCTATCGGGATTAAAAAACACATACATACAGCATTATTGGACAAATAATTGTTATCTTTTTCTTTACAGGCTCAAATCAGCTCTTTTAAGAGCTTCAATTCTCATCAAATCTTCCAATGTTAAAAAAAGAAAATAGAAAATAGAAAGAGATGAGAATAAAATATTTTTACCCATTTCCCTACCAATCTATTTGATTATTTAATATTTGCTTTCTCTATCACAAACACATACTACTACATTTAATTAAATACCCTATTTATAATTGAGTAAGTTATATAATTTATACATTGCTGACTGAAATAAAGATTAAATGCAGAGAAATATATTGAGAGATAATCAAATATTAAATAATTTTGAAAGAATTCTATGAAATTCTGAGAGGAATCTTTCTCCTCTCTCTAAAATAGCTTGTATGTTCCTTATTGAACCTTCAAGCTCGACGGAACTTGCAAGGTTAACGTGGAACCAAAATTTCGACTCGGAGATCCTTCCAGTTGCGCGAAATGCCATGGCACCATCTACCGTAAATTAGCGTTTGCATACTGAAGATCTTTGCACAGCTGAACGTACACAAATGTATTCCACTGATTAAACGTAAATATATATTTTCATCGGCAATAGAAATACTATGCCGTATAAATAGTGGCGGCAAAGATATCGGGGTGGTGAAAATACTACGCTCTATAAATCTTTTCGGGCGCAGCGTATCTTGAAACGTCAGCTATTCGGCGTCATGAGTGGCACGTTTTAATCATTTTTAGCCGGGGGTGCCGTGCCGAGCCGCGAGTTTGCAGAAGGAACGGTCGCGCGCGCGATAACTTTCAGCTGTCATTTCGCGAACGGTTTTGGATCGAGCGAATTTTGCGGCTTCCGTGGAAACTGGCCGCGCCGGGCTCGACGTGTCCGTGAGTCGAAAACAAAATCGCCCGGCAATATAAATACGGGTCGTCAACCCCTGCTGAAACGGAGACGACATTGGCGAACGCGTCGACGCGGATTATTTGACCGGCCGACGCGACGCGTCGCGCGTTGGGATGCGACGCGACGTGCGGGCGTCGGCCGTCGAAACGAGAGACGACCCCCAAAATCAACAAATTCTATTAATACCCACATTAATATTCGTAATTGAGCGAGTATTTCGCGCGCGCGATACAGGGAAGGGGGGGAAAGCTCGGTTTTCAATGGTCGCGTCCAATGCGCCACGCTTTTTCGGCGACGAAAACGCTCGGAAACCAATCAACGCATTGTGCGCGATGGAAAAAAACAATTTTCTGGAATTTTGCAACCTCCGCCCGGATCGATCGCGTCGACGCACCGGAAACACCTCCGGGCGGCGACACTGGAGAAAGGGAGATAGAGAACTGGACACTGAAGTTTTGTCGAGCTCGATATATAGAACGCGCCTCTGGATATTCTCTCCGCGTCTCTTTTCCATCTACGAATTCCTCGAACAATTCGAGACAGACGATTCCTCGTAGACGAAAGAAATCCTGCGACGATCTTCGAATTTAGTTCGCCCCACCAATGTATCGATAGACAATGCAAAATTTCATTCGCCGTTTAACTTATCCTTTAACGAAATTTTCGCGCCAACTCCACTTTAGCGAGTGGCCGAGGATTTCGTTGGCACTTAGTTATCGAAGTTCGCCAAATCCCATTCCACCGGAGAAATTTTTAATCGAGGGGATGGGAGAACGAAAAAGAAATACGTGACTTCTTGCCGCTTCTTCTAACAACTTTATAAAGGACGGTGTAAGCTAAGTACACGGATAGAGTGCGCTCCTTTTTTTCTCCGCCGCCGCCGCCGCCGCGTCGTTATAATGAGGGCTCTACTAAATACATGGGCTTTGTTTCTTTGAGGATTAGCTGCGACGGCTGAGAAAACGAGCCTCGTGACGGAGATTAATGACGGTGACCGCGCGTACATTGTGTCGCCGGGAGAGTGCTCGCTCCATCGCGATACACGCCACCCACATTGACACGTTCGACGATCAACGTCAAAACACCTCAAGTTTTTCGCCGCGTCCAGCGGCGGTGGTGGCCGAGCAATTTCGCGCTCGCTAATGCGAGTAATAATAAATGAGACGTCGCTCGTAAAGGGGGACTGAGCGGGCACGATCGGGCCGAGTAATTTTGTCGTCTCTCGCAGGGCAGGGTCGCTAAAGTTCAAATGAAAATACGACGGTATGGCATAGCTAGTAATGCGCGCCGGCATAAATGCGCTGTAATTTTGGCGAACATGAACGTTCCTCGAGAGAGAAAGAGAGAGAGCGAGCGAAAGAGGAGAGAGCTCGTCCTCATATTCGGGTGCTCGGATCATCCGGATCGCTTCCCGTACTCGGTAATCGGATTTTCCGATTCGACACCTGCAGCTACGAAGGCAAAGGGTCAGCTGCCCTTCGCGCTGTTCACTCACGAAATCGATAGCGCAGTCGCACAATACGCGTCGTGACGCTGCAACTAACATAGCCACGTATATCCAGACGTCGCGGCGGCAACACTTTTCCGGCAATCTCAAGCAGCAGCTCCCGTTTACTCCGCGCGTTTTCGCTGTCTCGTGCATGCGGTTTTCACGGACAGAAAGAGAACAGAATCCGCATTGTACCGCTTCTGTCTCACGTGCTGAATGACGAATGTTCCACAAAGATTGCTTTGATTCCTCGACGTTTCATCGATGTGCACACGAACGGACGGTTCGCGCCCCGGGCGCGCGCAATCACGCTTTCCCAAATTTAACGTTGTCGCGCGGCAAACAGTACGCTCGCGGGTGCTTAATTAATTAACCGTTATCAGGATTTTCCACGGCGGAATTTCTCGCGCAAAGGACGCGGACTACCCGGTGTGTTAATTAGTTGCCAACGGCTGCTTTGACAGTGATACTTTTTCGCACTTGGGAAACACGCGCCTGGGACGTATCGCGATAACACACCGCGCATAAATAGCGGTCGGACGCTAGCTCGACAATAGCTTTTGTCAGGTATATTTCAACGGCCGATAACTTCTGAAGAGTTAACTTTCGTTGAATGGAAACCGCGGGGGAAACTTGGACGGAACTGGAACTGAAGCTCTGTGGCGTAAACTATATTATAAAAATAGGAGATGAAAATCTCTCTCTCTCGCTTGCTCTCTCTCTCTCTCTCTCCTCTCTCTCTCCCTCTCCCTGTTTGTCTCTCTCGTGCGCACACACGCACAGACACATACATATAACTTACGAGAGTACCGCGCTCTCCGATACGAGCTGTAATCAATCCGGGAAAAATTGTCGAAATATAGCCGCGAAAGCTGCGTTCGATTGTTTCTGTGTCCGATTCTACTTTCTAGAAGTTTTCTCGAAGTAAAGCGACTTGGTTCGTGTAATTTCTCGTAATGTCTTAACTCGAGTAGCAACTCGGGCACATACCGAATGCTTTTCGTCTCGAGTTTCTCGAATGATGTACCTTCGGGAAAAGAGAACCTTCAAGCAAGCAAGAATAAAAAAAAAGTATATATCGCAGAGAGAGAGAGGAAGAAAGAGGAAGAAGAGAGATACATATGCGTTTTCGAAGATAGTTCGACGCTTCTTTTCTCAGACATGATTCTCAGTTTAATACATTCCCGAGATGTCGCGTCGAGATGCGACCTCGCGCAACTCGCGATGGGACACAGCGCGCTATATTATGTTGCAGTGAATATTCGAATCGATCGACTAAATAAACTCGTCGAAGAAACGACGAGGGAGACGAAACTTTGGAGTCGGGCAAACTTTACGCTAATTATCTCCACGGTATTTTAACACTGATGCTCTTCGACAAGCCGGAAGAGCGATGGAAACGATCGCATAACCGTGCGCGCGTTGGTGAAATTCAATTTACCTTCTTTCCCGTGTAGCGCAAGCGTTTGTATGAGAGCGTGCGTGGATGCGTCAGGAGCCGCTTTTAAACTAATCAGATGAAGATGCCACAGGCCAGGGGATGCGCGATGGCCAAAGGACACCGCGGGGTCAGTTTGCGCGAGCGTGTTCGCGGCGTTAATCATTTCAGCCCCGCCGGTATAATTCGATCGCTTTCGGAAAGTTATTCAGCATTGCGCACAAACGAGAATTACTTGCAATTATGAGCGAAAGCGCGTTTACGCATTGTATCGCTTCCCCATTATATTAAATCGCTAAATGTGCATGAAGAGTAAATGCAATTCATTTCGCCAAACTGACTTCGTTAAATTATACATTGTAATTTAAATTAATGAGCACTTCCAAACAAGCACGGCCGTACGAACCGCGCTCACGCGGCCAGGTATGAAGCGCGGAATAACGTGCCGACCGATCGTTCTTTGAAGGTGAGTTGAAGACGCGGGCTGTACGGGGTGCGAACCCCATGATGAGCATCTAATAAAAGAACGCGGTATCATTTCGCGCGACGCGACTAATTTTCCAAACGAGCTCGACGACGACGACGACGACTACTACTACTACTACTACTACTACTACTACTACTACTACTACTACTACTATTACTACTACTACTACTATTACTACTACTACTACTACTACTACTACTACTAGTACTACTACTA